CTGTTTTATAATCAATTTGTTTTAATAATTCCTTTTCAAATGATAATATAGCTAATTCATTCAATCTCTAATGAGACATTGTTGATCTTAAAGAAGATTTAATCAATTTTAATTTCGAAAAAACTTCTTTCGGCTGAGGCAACAGTTACAGTAACTGTTAACATTATTCTATAAGCAATATGTGTATTTGGAAAAGAATCAAATCTTTTTGTTTGATAGGGTATTTCCATTAGATCATTATCTACTTGTATTATTTCCCTTAACACTTTTAATTTAAAAAATAAATCTAAACCATCAATATCAGAATAATTATTACGTGTTAAAGAAAGTTCAAGGTTAAGTCAATAATTTTTAAAAAAATTCTCATCATCTAGTGATCTCAATATTTTACCACTAAATAAGAAATCAAAAATATTTCCATATGCTTCAATTGGTTCAAATATATTTTGAAGTGAAAAAATAGTTTGATCTACTCTACATATATAAAGCAATTAACTCTAAAAGATTCTTCAAGGGACTTTGTGATTTCGCTATCCATATTTTCATCAAAGTGTTTCTTACGAAATTTAGGTTTATTTTCATCTCATATGCAATTTTCTTAGTAGAAATCATAACACTCATAGTACATATAATTTTTTTCTAAAATAAAATATATAAGTAATTATTTTTTAAAAATGGGGCCCCCAAAATATATGGGGCCCCAAGCGATGGCTTTAGTGGCCTAGGGGTTAAGACGGCCCTGATTAGAACCAAGTGTTAGGCAAACTTTCACTCTCGAAAAAGCTTACTATCAGTTAATAAGAAGGGCGCTTTTGACCCAATAGTTTGACGGGAAGGGTAGTTTTGAGCCGAAATATAGTTTAAGGGTAAATATGAGCTATTTCAGATAGTTTAAGGATATTTTTAACCCTTTTTCATATTTATTTTAGTTTTTTCATAAAAAAATATTGAATTTGTTACTCCCAATCTCTTTACTGGAAGAGGGGTGGAAAACATTGTTAATTCAGAGAGTTCATCTTGGAGTGCATTTGGAATGGTACAGAAATTTCTAATGGCGGTCTTGATATACTTCATTCCATTGGTTCGACCTTTCAGTATTAGACTTACCCAATTTTTATAAATTAAAAAAAAATAAGGATAAAATGTAATTTAGGTCATTACACTATAGGATTTATGTAAGTTATACTAATTAATAACCACTATTATCGACTTGTGAAAGCTTCCTTTGAGGCCCAATAATTGCAAGATCAAATAAAAAATAAATTTATCCAAATAGGTAATTTGGGTAAAATGATGTAAAATAAAATAGTGTTTACTGGTCACTTTTCAATCATGCTTTGAAATTAGTTATCGTAGAGTTTTACATTCAACAAATAAAACTTCAGATCATGAACGAGCTACCATATAAATATGATTTTTCACATTGTGCATAAGTTTCTTCCAATTATATGTTTTTTCATTGTTAAGATTCATTTAAGAAAAACTTTCCATATGTTATAGCAAAAAAAAAAAAAAAAAAAGCACTAAAAAAAGGGAAGAGTCTGATCAAATGACGAAAATACAGCTAAAAAAAAAAAACAAAGTGCATCCCCTAACAAGGAACAAACTAATGTCAAAACATCAAAATTGTACTTCAAAACAAACTATATTTCAACTTGATTGGAGGGAGTAATAACCATGAGTAGAGGACCAAGCTTCTCCTCAGCAACGTTTTGATAACTGTTTTCTCCTCTCATATGTTACTTGAGCTCTCTTGTTCTCAAGATCCTATGATAAATCATAAACAACGGAGAACAGTCATAAATACATGCGTGAAATCATAAAGGCCGACAACAAATATATTACAGTAACGCCAAGTAAGGTAATGAGATGAGCCATAGAAGTACCGTTGGTCCGTATTCTGGATGGGTTGGTCCTCAGTCAGCAAGGCAACCGCTCCAACTCCTTTTTACCATGCTCAGGTACTTCAGGAGCAGAATACGTCACATATCTATAGAAACACAATACAACACACAAGCTCAAACCCAAACCTCTAACTAACAATCCTCCCTTGAGAAAGTAAGCAAGAACCAGCATTATTAATCCAAACAATACGTCTTTTCCTCCAATATCATACGCTACGCGCATGAAGTGAGCAATGGTATAGAAATATGTCGTGATGCCTAGTATTATACAGAAATACCCATAATTGAACTCCAAAAAATTGAACTCCAAAAGGTGATGAAAGGCTGCTGCAATTATCATAGGAATGACCTCGAGCTTAAATTTGGCCTTGGCACCAATTAAACGGAAAGGCATGTCACGACACCAATAAATAATAGATATGAGCAGAGCATGATGAGTAATCATGACCAAAATTAAGAGAATCATGTCGGGAATCAGCAACCAATTGTTAATAGTTGGATCACCGAGTAATATCGGTATGCCCATCATTATGGAGCATTGGGGAATGCTACCAAACATAACCCACGACCACATATTCTTACCCACAATGAAACCACCTGAGGAAAAAAAGAATGGAAGTTACAAAAAAACACACAATATTGAGCACACAAGACAATGAACAAGCATCACTACTACAAAGACTAAACATTGTCCAAAAAGAAATTTTGGTATAATCATGTGTGCATTAAATGGATTAGAATTATGTGGTGAAGCCTAGCATTAGATAGAAATACCACTCGAAAGGTTGCTGCAGTAATTATCATAAAATTGGCCTTGGTAGCAATTAAAGGGAATAAAACAAGTTCCAAGGAACTGATCAACTTACGAGAATGTTCATCCCAGGACATGATCCACCTAAAGTTCTTGACAGATGTAACCACCGCCTTCAAGTTTTCAGAGGAAAGCGCATCACCAGAGACAACTTCATCACCACCAGAGACAACTTCGACAACTTCATCACCACCAGAGACAAATTCTTCACCACCAGAGACAACTTCATCACCCATCGAGACAAATTCTTCACCACTACTACTGGCCGCTAATTAGTAGTGGTAACTTACATCTATCAAACCAGTAGTAGTAATAAACAAACAATTTCATCAAGCACAAATTGCAAAACAAGATTGACAATACAAAAATCAAGGTTGTTAAAATTAGGGTAGAAAATTTTACCAAGTTTGGATTATTTTTGTTTTGTTGAAAAACACTTGTTATAGGAGAAGGAAGTGCGTGCATCTAAGACTCTTGTTACCTATTGGACTCTTCTTACTTATAGGACTCTTTTTTATGTTTAGAAGTGTAATTACGTAGGTTTCTCTAAGTTGTTATTTTATTCTCAACCTGGTATGTAATACTTCTTCTCTTTCTTTTTAATCGTCAATATTATAAAGTCCAAACTATTGTAAATGGTATTAATAATTGCTCTGTCAGCCCGTTTTCATAATGTAAAATTAGCTTTTATTGGTCTCATTGTAAATGAAAAATATGGTTATTATTATGGAATTTCACAAATTTACGAGTGAAACTCCATGATAATACCCGTGAAATCCAAAACTTGATGAAAATTGTTATTTTCCAATTATAGAGATATTTGTTTTTGATATTTTAGTTGAGCCAAGAGTATATCGAAAACCGTCTTAGGGCATTCCTAACACTCCCTTGTTATGTTTTGGAATATGTGCAGTGGTTGACACCTCCGTGGTTCTGCCAATCCCAAAACTTGTTTAGAGATAATATTTGCATTATGTAGGAAAAATATGCTGCCCATGCTTCAAGCTGAAAGGTGAGCCTTGTTAAGTTTGTCTCCATTCCATGCTAACTCCTGTTTACTTATTCTAGTCTGATCTCGTTTTAATGTATTCTTTTTTTTGCTTATTTAGATTTGTTAAAGAGTGGAAGCAGTATCTTGAAGAATGTAGTTCCCGGCTGGAAAGTTACATCTCTGGGAAATGGATCTCCCAGCTCCAATCTTCCTTCCTTTTCACATACATAGGCGGCCAACGGTTTATCCTCACATAGTGTTCTCTTATTTTCCCATCTGCAAGCAAGACTCATGACCACCCCATATCTTGTCATCTGGTTCTGCAGTCTGACCAGTGAAGAACAAAAGGTTAAACATAATGAACAAGAAATAAAGTAAGATATTATGCATTCTTACCAACCACTTGCAAAGCTACACAAAGTGGCCGATCCCTCAAACAATTTAGGACGTTTTAACTTCAATCGGACAGATTCAAGTGTTCTCAAGCACGTACAAACTCTACCTACTCAATTTGGTGCGGCCTGCAGCCATGCATGATTTCTATGGGTGGATAATGCCTATTCATGGACTTCAAATTGGTAAGTAAATCCAAGTTAAACTTGGAAAAGTAGAAATATGAAATGGAACTCCCACACATGATCATACAAATCCTCCTTTCTTATTCGCTTCTAAGACATATAATATATGAAAAAGTAACGTCAGACAAATCAAAAGAAAAAGGTAACATATATTGTATGTGCAAGTGCTAATTATAACTAAAGACTGAAACCTAGGATTTCCACATTTTTAATCCCAAAGCTCAACCTAATTTCTCAACCCCTAGAAAGTCTACTTTCCTTTTAGGCTGATTGTTGGCGAGGAGGGGGTTCAAACTCCCAACATTGTGGTGGTTCATAACCGTTAATCTTCTAAGCTTTCAGAAGTAGATGGACTCACATCAAGTGTTTTAGTAGAGATTGAAACCTGGGATGTCGTTCAACCTAAATTTTCAAATCCCAAAAGAAGTATCTTTTAGGCTGGTTATTGATGAGAAGGGGTTCAAACTTCCAACACCATGGTTCATAGACACTAATCTTCTATCTTCTAAGCTTTCAGAAGGCCATATTCCACAATCGAAATTTCTTATGGAGTCGTCGAGTGTGTTGGCATAGTTTTCCTCTTACGTGACTTCCACAGATTTCCTTGAAACACTAACTGTTTACTACTCTTTAATTCCACCACTTAATCTGCAGTTTGTTTGTAAGTCATTTCCTTTCTAACTCTGCTTTTTAGCTTTAAGTCTAAGACTCTATACCTATATTGGGTGGTCATTGGTCTTCGTTAATGGTATCCAGATCAACTTGCATGCACCTTGACTATGGTTCATGTCAGTGGAGTAGTTCATACTTTCCTTTGGATTTCTTTCCTCATTGGAATAAAATTGTATCTGCAAAATCTGTGCAACACGTTTAAGATGTTACAGGATTTTCTTTAACGCTATTAGCATTCTCCCGCATACGAGTTGGGATTTACTATGCAAGTTCATGTTCTCTATTAGTTGGTTCAGATCATTTTACTGAATAGACCTCCTTGTCTCCAATATTTCAATCATCATCTATCTTTTTTTTTTCCAATTACATTATGAAAGTGGCTTTTCCTAAAGATTGTTTTCCACATTACTATCACTTTGAATTTTTCCACTTCTTTTAGTAGTATTGTAATGTTAATTTACATAATCTCTTGGAGCTTATATGGTATATATGTGCCATGCCAGAGGCAAATGGCCTGTGGTGAAAACTGAGGCAAATTACCTCAACTAACACGAAAAAAAATGATTTTTTTTCCTCAAACCAAACTAAAAAGGTTGATGAAGGTGACTAAATTCCCTAATATCCTTGTACACGATTACAACTTTTTTTGATAAGCCAACCTAAAGAGACTTTAAAGATGCCCAATTGCAAGGCGATGAATATGGATGATTCAAAATCACCAAACACAACTCAAGATCATTGTTCTACATATTTGATTTTTGATATTTTACTTGAGCCAAGAGTCAATCGAAATAGTCTTTCTACTCAAGGTAAGGGTAAGATGCGTACACACTATTCTCCCCAGAACCCACTTGGGAATTACACTGGATATGTAACATCATCTCTACGTGATCAACCACCAGTAAGGACTACTTCTTGATTAAATGAATTCTTAATACGTAAGTAAGAACCAAGTACTATGCAAACTTTCACACTCGAAAAACTTACTAAGTGTCAAGAAAACAGGTTTCTTACATTTTAGTTCAAACATGGCTCAGGTTCGTTTTTACAAACTTTTTTTTTTCCCTTTTAAGAGTTTAATTCACTGAGTACAACATGTAGTAATTAAGTCGAATTAATTCATGAACACTGCGAAGCTAAGCCCCAAGCACTCATGAACAGTTGTAGAAAGTAGCAACAATTAAAACTTGGAAGACTAATTAGTATCAACAATACAAAAGGCCTGGTAGTCTTTCCATTCACAGCCTTACAATTATTCAAACAAACATTTCCATAGTTTGGCTTCAAAGCACATATACTACTACTGCAAAAGTAGTAGAGACTTAGTGAAGTTGAAACAAAGGTCCAGTCCCATCATTTTTAGATGCTCCAGTAGGTACAAAGGTCAGCACACTCTGCATAAGTTTTTTCACTACACCGTGCATAATATAAATATGATTTTTCAGTTTATGGTTCGACACTCTGCATAAGTTTCTTCCAATTATATGCTAAGATTCATTTAAGAAAAACTTTCCATATGTTATAGCAAAAAAATAAATAAATCAAATCACAAAAATATTGCTAAAAAAATGCAAAGTGCATCCCCTAACAAGGAACATACTAATGTCAAAACAAACAATATTTCAACTTGATTGGAGGGAGCAATAACCATGAGTTGAGGACCAAGCTTCTCCTCAGCAACGTTTTGCTAACTGCTTTCTTCTCTCATATGTTACTCCTGTCCTGTGGTAAATCATAATCAACGGAGAACAGTCACCATCGATGCAAATGTAAGCAGAAAATTAGATGAACAAGGGCAAAGCAAAAAGAGGAATAACACCAGGGAGAGAATTGATTGATGCAAATGGTTTTCAAAAACTAGAGTTTATCTTAATTTACACTTGTATAGTACAGTACACCATGCGATGCAAGTCTCTTGTGAGAAACTCCATATCAATCAACATAAAATTAAACAATGTTGCATTACTTGGACATATCCTAGACAGAAAGGACGTTGAATATACTAGCTAGTACAAATATTTTTCTTGACAAGTTAGTGAACACAAATCAAAATAAATGGACATTTTATTATCTACAGATAAATACATTATTGCACAAACTATCAACAGCATAACACAAATACCCCCTAAATTTTTACTCCAACAACATAAACTGCGTCAAAAATATGTTATATATGTCACTGCTCATGGGGCTATCAAAAAGTTGTGTACCACTGTAACTTCATAAATACATCAAAATGAATACAAAAATCCACTTTGAGTTTACTTACTGAAACTGTGTCAACTATTTCAGCTTTGCCAGTACAAATTAAAGATATTCACTTTTTGAATGTATGTACGGAATACAAGATCGAGTTCCGTTTTTTTCTCTTTTTAAATGTATGTACGGAAAACAAGATCAAGTTTTGTTTTCACTTATTGAACTTGATCATCGTGCACACAGAGTCCAGGAAAGGAAAAGGGCCAAACACCAAAGGAGTGTTATGCATGCAGCTTAACCAGACCCAAGCATCACCTCGAAACAACATACATTCAGTTTTCTTTACTTTATGAATATATGTACTGAAAACAATATCAAGTTCAGTTTTTTCCTACTACAGAGAATAGTTAAAATGTTGAGTAAGTTGGCAAAGCTCTATAGAAAAAAAGATAAACGTGTCTTGGCTACATTTCCAAAAAGGTCCTCCAAGATAATTAGATTGCAAAATATTTCCTCTATTATCATTGTTTTGAAATTACACATTAATATCACCATAAGCAAAAATACCATGCACCAAACACACCTCACTCTAAATGGGCAGTTAACTAACCTCATCGTAAATACATAAGGCCGACAACAAAGATATTACAATAACACCAAGTAAGGTAATGAGAAGAGCCATAGAAGTACCGTTGGTCCGTATTCTGGATGGGTTGGTCCTCCATCACATCATCAGTCAGCAAGGCAACCGCTCCAACTCCTTTTTACCATGCACAGGTACTTCAGGAGCAGAATACGTCACATATCTATAGAAACACAATACAACACACAAGCTCAAACCCAAACCTCTAACTAACAATCCTCCCTTGAGAAAGTAAGCGAGAACCAGCATTACTAATCCCAACAATACATCTTTCCCTCCAATATCATACGCTGAGCGCATGAAGTGCGCAATGGTGTAGAAATATGTCGTGAAGCCTAGTATTAGACAGAAATACCCATAATTGAACTCCAAAAGGTGATGAAAGGCTGCTGCAATTATCATAGGAATGACCTCGAGCTTAAATTTGGCTTTGGCACCAATTAAACGGAAAGGCATGTCACGATACCAATAAAAAATAGATGTCAGCAGAGACAGATGAGTAAAAAGTCCCAAAATCATGAGAATCATGTCGAGAATCGCCAACCAGTCGTTACCACTTGGATCACCCATTAATATCAGTATGCCCATGATTATGGAGCACAGGGGAATGCTACTAAAGAAATACCACGACCACATATCCTTACCCACAATGGAACCATCTGAGAAAAAAGGAATGGAAGTTACAAAAAAACACACAGCATTGAGCACACCAAGACAATGACTAAAAACTGTTAGAAATTTTGGTATTTTCTCTGTGTTAAAACTAATAAAAGGATAATGTGGTTGGCTAGAATTAGCCATCGGGGGCCGTCTAGCTGCATATATCATCAAACAAGAAAGAGATACATCTACAAAAGGACAAGAAGTATATCGTTGTCCATTACACAATTTAGCATTAGATAGAAATACTCATAATTGAACTCGAAAAGGCTGGATGCTGCAATAATAATTATGATAGGAATGAAATTGGCCTTGGCAGCAATTAAACGGAATTAATAAAACAAGTTCAAAGGAAATGATCAACTTACGAGAATGTTCAACCCAGGGCATGATCCACCTAAAATTCTTTACAGATCTAACCACGGTCTTCAAGTTTTCAGAGGAAAGCGTCCATGTGCGGAGGAGGAACAGGCTACGGAGAGAGACAACTTCATCACCCATGAGTAGCAGTATATCTCTGTTAATTAATGTGGAGCCTAGCCGCTAATTAGTAGTAGTAACTTACATCTATCAAACCAGTTGTAGTAATAAACAAACAATTTCATCAAGCACAAATTGCAAAACAAGATTGACAATACAAAAATCAAGGTTGTTAAAATCTATCTATATATAATAGGAGAGGAAATAGTGTTACATGTCAGCACCGCATAATTTCTAAATATATTAAATAATAAATACAACAATTTAATTTATAGATATGTTAAATAAAAAATTAAAACAGTTTTAAGCATTCATGTACGTTTGAAGTGGTCTCTTTTTAAATAATAATAAAAAAATTAAATATATTTGTTCCTAATAAAATGCAAATCTAACTACTGAAATAACTACAAAGTCACGCATTTACTTTATTTTTTAAAAATAGAAGAGATAAAATTGTCAGCATGACAAAGAAAAATCACCAAAATTATAACCAGAAAAAAAAACAGAATCAATAAAATTATAACAATAAATAAGAAATAATTTCTTAGTCATTATCCATGTCCTACAAATTAGCAACAACAGAATATAAATTGTTTAGCATTATCCTTAATGGTAGTATATCAGTTCATACCAAATGATTTTTATTTCATTCAATAATCAATCATTAGCAACCAATGGATCTATCACTTCACTTCGTTAAATAAACGATTAAAATTTGTTTCAGTTACGGCAGCAAATTTAATTTTTACAAACTCTCACTCTAATATATCTATATGCATGTGTTTTTCCCAGCAATGCCATCTCCTGGCAAATTTAATTAGTAAGATTTCTCCCTTTTTGTGTGTATATATGAATTTATTTATAACATTCTATGATAATTTTTTTCTTAATTCTTAATTTCTTTTTGAAAATTTAATCTTAGTTATGTGAATTAAATATAATTGATAAATAGAGTTTATGCCTTTTTATGAATTTTATTTATTAGTCTAGATTTTTTTAACGCATTAATATGATGTCAATTCTGGCGCTTCAGGATATTGTTGAAATTCGTTGTCTTACTATTTCAATTCAATGGCTATGGCATTTTAATATC